CATCCCCTACCCTTGTCACTTATTGCCTAAGTATTTAACAGGGTCCCGTCCCATCAATTCTTCATCCTAATTGCTCTACGTCGAGTCATACCCAAATTGATTCTTGCTCCATCAGATGCCTTTTTTTTTTTTTACATGTAAACCCTGGCTTTTTGAAGATGGAGAAGCCTTTCTCAGGAGCCAGGAGATCTGAAGATGATGCTAATCCCTCAGTAGGAAGTTCATCCATTTAGTGCTCCCCTGAGCTCCCTCTTCGTGGCATACTCTCTTCTGCTGCACCCTCCCCAGGCACCCCGTTGCTGCCCGGTGCTCTCTGATGAGCTCCCCTTCCCTCCCCGAGACGGCACGGGTTGTTCAGCGGGATGCGCCACCTGCACTTCTGATGGTTCTGAGACCCAGCCCAGAGGCGTGGGCACAGCCTGCAAACCCTGTTTCAATAAGCTGCCTGCAGAGAGCCGGAGCCTGCTCACGGTCATTGAGGTCTCAGCCCCCTAAGGTCTCCAGGCTCATTTGACCAGCGCAGCTGCGCCTTTGCTGTCTGCCTCTGGCAGGTGCCAACATCAGCATCTTGTCCCACTGCCATGGGGAGTTTATTCTTGCTCCAGGGCAGCTGCCAAGCTCAGCACCAGCATTAATCGAAGGTTTTTTCCCGATTTTCTTTTCTTCATCCCTAGGGCTGGGCCTTCTTACCAATCCCCATTTTTTGTTTTATAGAAAGTGCCAGGAGACTGGCCAGAGACCAGCCCCTTCCTTTGTTTTAACATCTCTTCCCACCAGCCCAGCCTTCCCTGGCAGAAGGCATGACCCAGAGTAGTTACTCGGCACTTGGGGAATGAAGAACTTCGGGACATTGAAGGGGGCTTAGATTCTGTGACAGTAAGAAGAACTCGTCCATTTGCAGAGTCTTGGTGGCACCAAGCTGTTCCACATCAACACTGCAGGGTCCTCCTGAGGTTATTGAGGGTGGCTTGGGAGGAAGAGTTGAGAAAGCATTAGATTCAAAGCAGCTTTAAATCTGTCACACTGTTTCCTGAGGAGAGATGAAAAACTAGCATTTGTCCCCAGGGGGAGCTGAGCACAGCCAGCCAGTCCCAGAAAGGCTGGGACCCAAAATGGGGTGGATGAATTCCAGGGGAAGTTAGCCTGTGACTCTGCCGATACTTTAATTTGCCCAAGTGCAGGATGCTGGCAGGCAAGATGGACCACTCCACGAGTCCCAGCCCAACCCCAGGGATGGGCCATGAGAGGCAAACGCAGGTGTTCACCCATTCAGCCCTTTTGAACATGTACTGTAGTTGAGTCACCCATCATTTGGAGCTGAAGGTCCCCTAAGAGTCAGTTGAGAATATGGGGCCCTCTGACAGCAGCTTAGAGGAACACCCATCTTTTCCAGATTGGCAGAACCCATCACTTTGGTGCCCTTTGGAGAATCTAACTTTTCTGTATAAAGAGTCACAAAGCTGCTTTTCAGACTCATTCCCTAAGAAATCAGTCAGTTTACGTGGCATACACCCCCCCACCCAGCTCCACCGGCACGGGGAAGGCGGCCACACCCGCCCTCAGCCTGAGCCCCCGGCTGCGCGGAGAAGCGGTGGCGGTCACGCTCCGGGCCTCAGAGGGCTGTGAGCGCGGCCCGGTGGACATGCCGGTGGACTGCGTAGCCATCCTTACCAGCCACGGGGCAGGGCAGACTGGGGGCACCAGGACTGCCTTAGCCAAAGGGACAAGCAGTCAGCAGTGCTCATTCAAAGGAGCAAAACTTGGAATGTTCGGGAACCCGACGCTCATCAAACGTGACATAGATCCTAAGGCTAGAGGGGAATGAAGAATTGGAGCGACCCATGGGTGCCCTGGGGATAGGAAACGCGGGGCTGCTACCCATGGGTAATGGTCAGTCCTCTGTCACTGGGGCCCGGCACGGCGCCTGTCCCACGGGCAGTGGAAGGTGCTCCGGGCCCTGTCTGCACAGTTGAAGGCCCGTGGCTAAAGCCCCCTCTCTCTGTCCCAGATGCTGGGGGGCCGCCTGACCCAGCACTACCTTCAGAGCGCAAGCGCGCTCGACCTGGGCTTTGGTTTCTTGCCCTTCAGCTTCAGCTACAACGTGGGGGAAAGGAGAACGGGAACCACAGCCCCGAACCCCATTTGGCCGCGGCCTTGCGGCGAGCAGAGATTTCTGCTGTGCTTTCCTGGACTCAGAAATAGCCGATGGTCCTCAGAGAGCTGAAGAAAAGGCTTCAGAAACTTGAAATCCAGGGCCTTATAGTCCTAATTATCTCTCCTTTCTCTTCCTCTCTCTCCGTCCCCCGAGGGAGGGGGAACACTTTTCATCACAGAGTTTGCTTTAAAGAGTTTTCTCATCTGCGGCCGCCATCCCTTGATATTGAAATTATTTTCCCGTTTAATCCAAGGCCTGCTGAGAAGCAGTGTGAGATTCAAGACGCGGGGTTTTTTGTTGTGGTCTTTTGGATGGCGCTGCATTTTTACTCTTAACCCCAGGGTATGTCTCAGCTGATGCTTTGTTTCCTGCAAGTTTGACAACACAGGTGGAATAAAATAAGGATTCTGGCTTTTAGGGTAGTTGTAGGATTCGGTCCTGGGAGAGGGGTTCACCGGAGCCGGGGTGCAGGGTAGAGTGGGCTCCACAGAAGCTCCCTGTCGGGAGGGGACCCGGGTGAGCGGCTCTCCTGGGCTCCATGTGACGTCGTGTTTCCCGAGTTTCCCGCCTGTGGAAGCGGATACGTGGGTCTCGTCCTGTGCATCTGCTTTCCTGAGGGAGGACCCCAAGCGTTGTCCTGGGGCCACTCCCACGCGGCTTCCTCATGGCACCCTGCGCCACGTGCTTTCTCGCCAACACCCACGGAAGGCCGTCCACGTGGTAGAAGGACAAGTTTTGCTCTTTGGACTTTGGAAGTGGTTTTGTGATGTTTGAATTTTCTGTTCGCGTTTGCTCAAGCGCTACAGATTGTACGTACGTAGTCCCTTCAGCCAGCACC